AGCTCCTGGGTAAAGTTTTTTCTTGCGTAGCATGAAGAAGCCAGTTTTCCCCAATGCCTAGAAAAGACTGCTGCTCATGTGACAGCTCTGATTTCATAATTCCGTGTACCTATAGAGCCATTTTTTATATTAAATGTTAGAAGCCACTGTCTTGATGAAAAGAACTGGACTTGGCTACGCAGGAAAGGTCATTCCATGAAAGGAAGAGGATAGCAATGTGAACTGTTTGGGACCCATCTTTGGGGCTAGTGTGGCTGTGAGTGAGGCACTGGACATGTGATTCACTCCCTCCCTGCTCCCTTTCTTCTTATCCCAGGCTGAATTAGCTTCTATGCTGTGCACTCTGCAATAGGCAGTCTAAACAGCAACTGTCAGTATTTTTGTGCTCTTTGTTGATTCAATCAACTTTCATATATGACAATACATCCTCATTTATAACCTCAATTGATGACTCAGCCCTACAAGGAGTCTTTATGAAAGAGATAAGCATTTAGAGGGAAAAATATTTAAAAAAAAACATGAGAAAACTGCAGATCAATTTCATGCACCTAGCAATATAATATCAATGTCTGACAATGTTTTCAAATTCTTGCTTAAAATTTATACCTGTTTTCCTTTAGAGTTGAGTGTTTACCGAAGCAAATATCTCACAGTAAAGGGTATGTGTTATAAAATAAATTGAGTTTCTGAAGTTTAGATCAAGGGTGATATTTTATTCTTTACCTTCCCTTTACCTTGTGTCCAAAGCTGTCCCAGCCCTTAAATCTTCCTTTATTCCCTATACCCAGTAATGCCTTACATAATTAATGCCATGCATAATTAGTTTTGTTACCCATTTTTATCCAATGTGTACCATTAAAATAATTCCTTAACATAACACTTTGATTCATTTCCTCATTTACATTTCATCTTAACATGTCATTAGTTCCTTCTTAAAAATACAGCACATCTTAGCACTCCACACAGTGGATGTCCGAATAGTAGTATTAGCCAGGGGAATGGTGGTGCACATCTTTAATCCCAGCACTTGGGAGGCTGAAACATGCAGATCTCTGTGAGTTCAAGGCCAACCTGGTCTACATAGTGAGTTCCAGGCCAGCTGGGGCTACAAAGGAGACCCTGTCTCAAGAGAAAAAAAAGAAGAGAAGTGATTCAAAATCCATGTGCTTATCTATCACACACACACACACGCGCACACACACACACACACACACACACACACACACGTTACTTCATCTCCATCTTCCATGTTAGGTACTTTCTCAAGTTTCCCATTTTCTCTTTTTCTCCTTTCGTTTGCCCAAGGAAGGGTCAATTTCAACTGCTATCTTTCCTCAAAATTTGTGTATTTAAATTTCAGGGTTAACCTCATGCACATACCACAGACTCCAAGTATTTACTACATGTATAATGCTAGCAGATCTCTGTAGATTTATGAACTGAAGAAAGATTGGAAGCTCCATCTTCCTATTTTAACTTTTCTCTTACTTAATGTGGATTTTACCCATGGAATCAATTGACCACACTCCATGATGATGTTTTTCTGACTTCTTTTAGGAACATGGAATACCTATCAACATGGGCTATGCAGTGGCCCCACATCACTCAGGGGTTTACCCAGTCCATATTCAGCTGTATGCAGCTTGGAAGAAGGTCTGGGGTATTCAGGTCACCAGCACTGAAGAATATCCACATCTGAAACCTGCACGGTACAGGAAGGGCTTCATTCACAATAGCATCATGGTGAGTGCGTTCTACACTATGCCTGAAGATACTTAATATTTGTGTGTAAACTGAACAGAGATAACATTCTTTGCAAGTATATAACACTAAACATTTCTTACCTGAATACTAGAAATTCCCAACATGGTGTGGACATGATGGTGACATAACGGCATACTGTTTGGCTGTAGGTTTACTTCCTAGGAGTGTGAATGAGTTTTGAATAGATTATCCTTTGGTGTTTTCAAAATGTAAATTCGTCTGTGGCTTCTATAGCTTCTCAGTACTCTTGGTTAGGATGATTTTACGAAAACTAAAGGCAAACTGTAGCTCACTGAATCACAAAACGTGTCTAGTCACTTCACTACCAACGAACAAGGGAACAAACAGCACCTGAGAGTAATCCAGCTGTTCAGTGTGCCCTGGCATCTTAGGACTCTCCCAGTTTCCTCTTTCTTGCATACTGCAAAAGGAAAAGGAGGCACATATTTTCTTTCATGGATATTAGCTGAAAAACTAATGTAATTTAAGTGATCTATCCATAACCATGAGAATTAAAAAAATGCATTTTAGGATGGGATTTAACATTTTTCATTGGGATAAAAATGGCGTGATTCACTTTGATCTGAAATGGCCAGTTTGAAAACCACACCCAAGTCCTACTGCCTCAGTTCCCCTCCTCAGTTTTAAAGATCAGTGCAAGAGTTTGCACACTTTCTCCTTCTTTCAAATATTTACAATATCTCAATCCATTACTCATATTACCGTTAGAATCGTATATCCATCGGTCTATCCGTATATACATCTAACTTCTCTATAAAAGTAAGAAAAAAGCCCATGAGGCTGCCCAGAGGTGGTACTCAATATTCTTTATCACGAAGCTTGAATCATCTCATTGTAATTTGGTACCAATGGGTCTGGAAAACACAAATGAGAAACTGAAAACATTGATACTGCCAACAGTGGTACTGGTGTTTGTGGAAATCTAGGCGGCATAAAAAGAATTAGTCATGTAATTTAAAATCACAGGGAAAGGTCTTGTTTTTTTCCCATTATTTTGTGATCACTCAACATATCATGAAAGAAATATTACTTTTAGCCAATACTGCCTTGAATTTAAGCCAAATTTGCCTTGAATTTAATCCAAAGTATTATGAAAATTAACTAAAAAATAAATAGACTCATAGCTATCTTGTGTAATTGGATACATTTGCCATTAGATTATAAATAGTTTATTATTCCAATTAAAATTTTAGAATGAAATTAGTCATTTGCTTTGTCTGTTGAACATTCCGATTTGGAGCAGAATTAACCACAAAATAGTGTAGAAACAGTCATCAAATGGTTTGACAATTACTGTGATGAAATTTAAATTCACAGTTGTGCAAAAAAAAATTGTAGAGGAAAGGATGAATCTTGTGCTGAATCCAAGGGTTGGCATGTAGTATAAGACTTAACATCAGAATCAAGGAGTGGAATGGCTCAATTACATGAAAAGTGAACCAAGCAAGCTGTCTGAATGAAATGAACCCCAGGACAGCATTTCATTCCTTCACATAAAGAAGGTAGTGACTTGGATTTGTGTGCCTATGATAACTGGGTGCACATTTTTCAGGCTCTATTTTGTTTATCTTTGATTTGGTTATCATGTTGACATTTACAAAGCTAAAAGAACATCCGCTCTTGATTGCAGTAAGATTTTGGTCATAAGAACCCTGAAAGTCCACTGGGAACTATTTGCTGACTGTGAAGATATTAAAAAGTGGTTTAAGTTTTTAATTAGATGTCATCCACGTGCTGTTTTTGTCTCCTTGTTCTCAGGTCCTCCCTCGGCAGACCTGTGGGCTGTTCACTCACACTATTTTCTACAAAGAGTATCCAGGAGGACCCCAGGAACTGGATGAGAGCATCCAAGGAGGTGAACTGTTCCTCACAATCCTTCTAAACCCAGTATGTGTTCAACTCATAAATTTTAAAATGACATCAGCATAGTCAAATGTGCTGCATTCTTTAAACTAAATCATGGTTAAATTCTTATTAGCAGACTCTCTTTACTGATACTGAATTTAAATTCATATTTCAAATCTTTTCCTTGATAAAATTTGACTTCCTGCCAACTGTTCACCAGTGAATATAATGTTGGTTGTGGATTTGTTTTATATTGCTTTATTGTATTGGCATACATTCCTTCCATTTCTAATTTGTAGAGAAGTGCTGTTTTGTGTTTTTTTCATGAAAAGATGTTAGGTTTGTTTTTTTTTTTTCCAATGAACTTTTGCATGTTTAGAGGATCAAGTTATTGTTATCATCCATTCATCCTCTTAATAACACTTAGTGATTTCCATATGCTGAGCCAGCCTTGCAACCGGGGATGAGTCCTGTGTGGCGAAGGATACTTTCATATAGTGTTAAATCTCTTAGGTCACTGTTCCCTTGCCCTGAGACTTTTACATCTATATTCGTAAAGGAGATTTACCAGTCTATGTTGTGCTATCTGTGGTATGAAACTAATGCTGACTTCATAACAGGTATTCAGAAGTTCACTTCCTCTTCAACTTTTTGGAGGAATTTGAAACAAATTTTACTGTTAACTCATTAAATTTTGGATGAACATCAGTAAAATCAGGAAGTCCTCAGCCTCTTTTTGGTAAAAGACTCTTAATTTTTCTCCTTTTTGCTCTATACAAATTTTCTGAGTGACTCTTGCTGGTCTTATTTATCTAGAAACTTTCCTGTCTTCTACATTGTCTGAGTTTTTGCTGTTTGATACCCAGATGGTCCCACAGTCCTTTGTACTTCCGTGGTATCAGTTGTAATATCTCTTCTTTCATTTTTCTCAACGTCTCTTTTTTATTTAGTCTAGTTAAGTTTTTTTCAATTTTGCATCTATTTTTAAAACCTTAACTCTCAAGTCATTTTTCCCCCCCTGTGTTTTTCTGGTCCCTATTTCATTTATCTCTAATCTATTCTTTACTTTTTCCTTCTTATGCTAACTTTGGAGATAGTTTTGACTTCTTTTCTAGTCTTTTTCTTAGCGATGTGAAGTTAGGTGTTTGAGAGTTTTCTTTTACTCTTAAAGCCCTTATTCAGTGTTACCACCTTCTCTTTTAGAATTTCTTTAAACCCCTCACAAAATTGGTTGGCGTTGGGCATGGTGGCACATGCCTTTGATCCCAGCACTCCATAGGCAGAGGCAGGCAAATCTCTGTGAGATTGAGGCCAACCTGGAATATAGCAAGTTCCAGACCAGCTGGGGTTACATGGAGACCCTATCTCATACCCCCCCCCCCCAAAAAAACAACAACAGCAACAAAATCTCAAGTCAGGAATATTAGGCAATTTGACTAAATCCCTAATAATATGATTCCTATAATTCCCTTATGATGCTCAGTCAAGAAAGATACAAATTTGTTAAGTATGTTTGGAATATAATTGTCTTCTGACATCTCAATATACCTTCCATTCTCAAAATGTAGCAAATATATATTAATATAAAGTTCCGTGACCAAATTTCACATTCTAGTTTAATAAGAGGTACATGGCTTGCCCATAAATTTTTCCAGGTTAGTGTGTCAGTAGACACTTAGAGGTTCTAAAATACCCTACTGTGGAGGGCTGAAGTAAACATCTGTGACTATAGGTTTTACACACAGGTAACCTAAGGCTTAATTTTTAAGTATTTATTAACTGTATATCTCATCGCATTTGGGATGCAGGCAGTAACAGGCTTTGTGCGGTGCCCACCTTGCTTCACGTAAGAACTTTTCCTGCACAGGGCTTTAAATAAAACAATCACCAAAATGTCTGTGAGGAAACTACATCAAGTATACTTGAAATGGATAATTGCTAGATAATTTATAAATGTTTTAAACACATGAAGAAATTAAATGTTAACAACCCGATATTGTGTGAAAATAGTAAATTCATAAATTAAATTGAGGGGTAAATTAAGTTATTGCAGAAAGGCTTTAGCTGGATATTAAAAAAAACTTCCCCTCTGTCGCACTAAATTTTCTTCCCTTTTCCCTCCTTGGAAGGCTCTGCTCTGCGTGCCCCGTGAGGCCCCGCGGCTCATAGACTAACATAAGACATTTTTAGTTTGGGTTTTGCACGGCTTTTTTTTTTTAATGGTAGGGAGGGAGGGGATGACTTAGAAAGTAACCGAGCCATTCAGATCACTTTCGCGCTAAGCCCACAGTCTCCATTAGCTTTGGCCTGCGCCCCAGGTCTGTAAACGCAGGACTCCTCCACCATTCACTGGGCCGCATACACTTCCTTTTCTTGGTTCCAGCCTCACCACCAGTCTAGCTCTCTGCAGCACTAACTCTCCGCAGCAGGATCGCCTCCTCTTCCTAGGGTGCTCCTTGTCTCACACTTGGCTGGCTTACACTTTTCGGAGGAATAAGTAATTTTCGGACTACACCCTCAAAGTGCGTATTTATTAAAATTAAAACAAAAAAGTCTTCTGGACTGTTGGGACAGGGTTAAATGTGAGACAGAAGCTTAGAAGGTATATGTTCTGTAGTAAAACCCATGATTTCTCAAATTTGGTTTTTCTATAAACAAAGTCAGTTGCAACTAAACCATCTCCAACATGCCTCAGGTGTTTTTACTGAAATTAAGTTCAAGATATTCAAATATGTTGCAAAATTGACACTGTATATACTTTTTAATTTTTCAAGGGATTATAAAAATGATTGTTGAAAATTGAGATGTGCCTGTGACTGTCATGGTCACTTCTGCCTCTCACATGTCCTCTGAGAAACACAAGTCACTTGGGTTCCATCCTGGATTCTGTGTCTGTTCTAGCACTCAAAATGAATTCAGTAATCAGGAGCGCATTGTACGTTGCCTTCTCCACACTTCCTGCCCGTATTTGATGGTTACTAGCATTCAATGCTTGGATGACCATCTAACTGCTAGATTTATATGTCTGTTTTTTAAATATTTTGAATTCAGTATCATTTATAAAGTGTCATCCTGAGACATAAATATCCTCCTTTAAAATACAAGATTTTTTGATGTCTAGTATTCCATCTGTAGCACTTGTGAGTCAGGAAAACTATTCTAAGTACTATACACCTTACTTTAAAAGCCTATCATTGACACAGAAATGTGTTTTAATGTCAGGCTGGAAAGAACAGGGGAAAGGAGAGTTAACAGAAGCTTCCTTGTTTCCAGTAACAAACTGCACTTGCACTTAACATTGGAAATTGGTGGTGAGCTTACAGTAGGATGTCTGGATAAAGAGACTTGTCAGAACAGGCAAAGTAAAATGATGGTCAGTAGTGCAGATGATGTTAGGGCTTAGCAAATATGGCTCCACCTACCTGACACGTTCTAAGATCTAATATTAAATCAGAACACCAACGATTTAAAAAGTCAGTGGTGTGGTTCCAATCTGACTCCAAAGGCCTAAGAACTGGGAGAATTGAAATGACATCCTGCCAGGCCCAAAGCCAGTAGGCTCAAGAGCAAGGAAGAGTGAAGGGAAAAAGCAAGTCTTAGCAGCTTAAAGATGGGTGGATGAGGGAGCTGGAGAGATGGCTCAGCGGTTAAGAACATTGGCTGTTCTTGCAGAAGACCCAGGTTTGAACCCCAGCACCCACATGGCAGCTAGAAACTGTCTTTAACTTCAGTTCCAGGGTTTCTGATAGCCTCTTCTGTCCTCTGGACATAACATGACATGGGTGCACTTACCTACAAGCAAAACAGGCATATACATTGAAAAAAAAAAAACGCCGGGCGTGGTGGCACACGCCTTTAATCCCAGCACTCGGGAGGCAGAGGCAGGTGGATCTTTGTGAGTTTGAGGCCAGCCTGGTCTACATAGTGGGTTCCAGGACAGCTGGGGCTACAGGGAGACCCTGTCTCAAAAAAATAAAAAAGGGCAGATGAAACTATTGTTACCAGCCCTTCTGGCTCTTCTCAGGCCTTGCAGGAATTGTATGAGATGCACCTGTGATTGAAAGTCAATAGGCTTCACAGCACTTCTGTGATGTGTGTTGGAATGATTCAAATGATACTCAGTCTCAGTCAACAATACTCCATGAGCAAACTCAGAATGATATTCAATCAACTAGCTGGCTGTGTGATAGCTCAGTCAAGTTAATACAGATGGCAATATGGGTCAGGAACTTAATGTGGGCAGCAGCTTTGAAATTGGCATATAAAGTGAAGGAAGCAGAAAGAAGAAAGGGCTTGAGGGGAAGCCATGCTGGAGGCCCTCTCACAAAGTGCCCCAAGAGAAATAACGTGCTCCACTAATGTTAATGAGTGAAGTGTCAAGTCTAATCTTACTATTTCATGGTTGATGGTCCAGCAAGTCTAGAACCAGTATACTCCATGAGGTTGTAGTGGAGAAAAAACCAGACAGGGCAGAACTGAGCCTAACACCCACGTTCTGCCTCCAGTCGTGACTTGATTCTTTGGCAGAGCGAAGAGCTTCTCAAACTCCCTTTCCTAATACCATGCTGAGGAAAAGAACTGCAAGCTCATTTAAATAAACCAATTATATTGCTGGTACGCTAATTTCAAAGACCAATGGCACTTCACAGAGCTACTTCCCTAAAAGAAAGGTTTGTAATTGTTTTATTTAGATATCAGTCAAAAGCCTTTGGGATTTGTCTTATTAAGAAGAAAACATTCAATAGTCATGAAATCCATCCAGAAATAAGCATTTCCTCTACCAACTGTGATGACTGACACTGAGGTGGAAAAGAAGTGTATATGAGAAGCTGACCTGGGGTGATACCTATTGGTAGTTGTGTAGGGAAGTAGAGAAATACCTTCCATCAAGGGTATCCTGGAAAAAAATATTATTTCCAGATTTAACAGAACCATTTCGAATTTTAATCAGTAGTGCATGAAATTATATGTATGTAAGAATATTATAAGACTAATAAAAGCTGGGGATAGTGTATGAAAGACTATCCCAACATCTTCCCTCT